CCTCCCATCTCAGCCTCCCATGTAGTTGGGACCACAGGCACATGCCACCACGCCTGGGTAATTTTCTAAAAAAAATTTATATAAAGCCAGGGTCTCATTTTTTGCCTAGGCTGATCTTGAACTCCTGGGCTCTCACCTTGGCCTCCCAAAGTGCTGGGATTAAAGGCATGAGCCACTGCTCCTGGCCAGAAAGGTAGTAATTGATGGCCTGGTTTTATGATAGAAGATACCTTGGACTAACGAAAAGAAAGTGAAATAAAAAAAGTTACTCAAAGAAACTTTCAGGGGAGTCATGAATGACTGAATACAATGCAAAATTCAGTATGATTTAGCAAACTAAGCACACTCATTTATGTTGGTGACTGCATACAAATTTGTATAACTTTTTAGGAATGCAATCTGGCAATACATATCAAAACTCTTTAAAAGGCTTATACTGTTTGACTTACTAATTCTACCTTTGGGTATCTATTAAAGAAAACAACTCCTAATAAAGTTTTTACTTTATGAATACAGATGCCCACAATTTTTAAAATTAAAAAATAGAAATAAACTAATTAAAAAATAGTTAAATAAACCTATTTTTAGGCCTTTTTCCACATTTCTCCTAAGTCTACCTAACAAATTACTTTTAAGCCACACTTCTTTGCCATTGTTTCTAGATATGGCTGATTTGGTACCTAACTACAGATTATACATATTTGATTACAGTACTGCTATCAGAGTACTATAACATGTTTCAGGGTCTAGATCATGAGATCCTTAAGAGCAGAAACTAAGTTACAGTCACATCAGTATCCTTAGCACACAGCAGTTAGTAAATATATTTTACAGAAATGAATGATAAATTACATAAAATCCACACTTGGATAAGACTGTGGTCCACAGAGGATGAATCCGAATTTTCTGAAGATCTATCCAATAAGCAGAAACTGTAACTATCAGAAGGTATAGGGAACCCATTACTAGCCCAAGGAGTAGACTTCCTATTAGAGGATACAGCAATAGCTGTATTACCCTGATAATGTTTTCATGGAGCGGTTATTAACAACATGGTAGAGATCATGATGACACTAACATAGTATACTGGTAAGAACATGGGCTCTAAAGTGACACAGACCTGGGGCTAACTCAGGTTTGCCTTAATTTGTTTGTCCATAAAATACAGGTGATCGTGATAAAATCTCCTTTATAAACTTATTGTGAAGATTAAATAAGATAACACATATAAAAGGTTGGGATGGTGCTTGGCTTACAGTAAGTATTCAATAAAGTTAACTATTATTATTACCTTTCAAGCTTCTGGCCTCTGCCCTTACCAGGTGATTCAAAATGGGAAGGAAAGAAACAAACCAAATAAATCTAGACAGCATCTTTAGGAAATGTGAAGTTGAGGAATAAAAACTTCACATTCTATAGGCAGAGTTGTTATATTAGCCACTTTTATTACTGGCAGATTTGGATGCTGGAGAAAAACATAATGAAGAATCCAGTCAACTTTTTTTTTTTTTTTTTTTTTGAGACGGAGTTTCGCTCTTGTTACCCAGGCTGGAGTGCAATGGCACGATCTCGGCTCACCGCAACGTCCGCCTCCTGGGTTCAGGCAATTCTCCTGCCTCAGCCTCCTGAGTAGTTGGAATTACAGGCACGTGCCACCATGCCCAGCTAATTTTTGTATTTTTAGTAGAGACGGGGTTTCACCATGTTGACCAGGACGGTCTCGATCTCTTGACCTTGTGATCCACCCGCCTCGGCCTCCCAAAGTGCTGAGATTACAGGCATGAGCCACCACACCCGGCCCCAGTCAACATTCTTTTTTTTTTTTTTTTTTTTTTTTTGAGACGGAGTTTCGCTCTTGTTACCCAGGCTGGAGTGCAATGGCACGATCTCGGCTCACCGCAACCTCCGCCTCCTGGGTTCAGGCAATTCTCCTGCCTCAGCCTCCTGAGTAGCTGGGATTATAGGCACGCGCCACCATGCCCAGCTAATTTTTTGTATTTTTAGTAGAGACGGGGTTTCACCATGTTGACCAGGTTGGTCTCGATCTCTCGACCTTGTGATCCACCCGCCTCGGCCTCCCAAAGTGCTGGGATTACAGGCTTGAGCCACCGCGCCCGGCCCCCCAGTCAACATTCTTAAATGGAATTTGGATTTCAGGTAAAAGAAGAGTGTCCTAGAAAGAAGCAAAAGACTGAGAATTAAACATGGAATGAGTAGCATGAGACAGGGGAAGAAAATGCCTGCCTAGAAAATTACTAATTCAATTTACCACTGTGCTGAAGGTACCATACCTTATGCCAATGCAGCATGGTAATAACAACAGTAACGGTTATAATAATACAGTACTGACAGTAGCTACTATTTACACAATACTCCAAATGCATTATACGTACTAATTCATTTAACTTGAGGGTCAAACAGGTCTGGCATTAAATCTTGGTCTTGCCATCAATAGCCAAAAGCCTCAAGTAAGTTACTTCCCTCTGAGCTTTCATTTCCTAATGTCTAACTGGAGGTGAGAATACCGAACCCACAGGGATAGTATGAAGATTAACCAGATTATATATATGAACTACCTACCATAGTGCCTAATAGCCAGCAGATGTCCTGGTAGCTATATCTTTATTATTACTGTTAACATGTTATTAAATCTTAGTACCAAAGAGATCATTCGGTAGGCCTGCAGAGTAGTTTACAAAGAAAATCTTTTTTCTTCCTTGTTGAGTTCCTCATCTTTTTAAAAATCGTAAGCATGCTGCATTGTTAAGCTTTTCTCAGAATGAACTATATATAAAATAAGAAATAGATTATTAGAAAGATTTAAAAAAAACCTTTAGGGAAGGGGAGATGATACATTACACTGACTAGTTTCAATAGTAATTCTAACATGCTCCCAACTATATTTGGTGTCTGGTAGATTTAGTTACTGATTACAAGTAACTGATTAGTTACTGATTAGTGGCAAATATTAAGCAGGTTTACCTCTCTTTATAGAGAGTGCACATTTAAAAAATAAACCCATATTCTCAAACCATGTTGTTGAGAATATAAATTGGAGAAACCTCTTTGGAGGGCAATTTGGTAATATCTATCAAAATTGAAATATGTTTATATTCCCTTTAACCCCAAAATTTGAGTCTAATACTTTATCCCACAGAGTGTTTCACACATGTGCATAAAGACATGTGTCCAGAGATATAGTCATTGCAGAACTGAGGGTCACAGCAAACTAATGGAAACAGCTTAAATATTCATCATTAGGGAATTGGTTGAATAAATTATGGTATTGCCATACAATGAAATAAAGTGCAGCTATTTCTAGATATACTCATTTGGAACATTTTCCAAGATATGTAGATATGTAAGGAAAAGAACATACAGTGTGTAATATACTATAATACTATTTGTGTAAAGGGGGAGAGACAAATGTAAATACTATAGGTATACAAGCATACGTCTGTCTCTGAAAGGACACATAAGAAATGAGTAATCATGGTTATTTCTGGAAAGGACACCTAGAAACAGGAAAATAAGGGACAGAGGATGGAGAAAGGTTTTTTCACACATATCCTTTATATTCTTCGAATTAACTATGTAATATATAATCTATTCAAAAATTTAAAATACATTAAAAAGACCCTTCCTAGAGCTAGCTTAAACATTTTGTTTTTCTTCATCCACAAGGAATAGTAACGTTAAAAATACTACATTTTCTTAAAGTAAATAGCGCTGCAAAGAATAAAAATGGCATATGGCTGGGGGAATCTTCCAAAGAAACTACTCTACTCAGCCATCTCCTGTTCTCTTCTCTGCCTTTTAAGGTCACAGTAACACGATAGAAAATCTGGGACTCACACCATCTGTCCAGACAGTTCTATCACTGCTCATTTCTCTTGTTAAATAATCAGAATACTTCACACTTCCCAAACACTGCTACTATAAAGAGCTGTTAAGGCAGAATGAAAGAAGCTTTTTCTATCCAGATATGTAGTAGTTGGAAATGAACAGTTCTTTTGAGATTTGCAGGTTTCGGATCATATCAGTGAGAGAAAAAATTCAAGCCTTAGAAGGAAATTTAAGAGTAACAGGATTCTAATACTTGGCTCTAAAAATGATCTTTCTTAGAAAAAAGGTAACACTCTCATAGAAGTTCTCTAAGAATAGATAAGAATAGATGTAACAGTAAACGAGATAACTATACAGGTCTCTAATCTATATATTTCTCACGAGACTAAGAAGAGAAATAGTTTTCTTTACTACTACTACTACTACTAGTACTACTACAGTAGTAGTAGTAATCACAGCTAATAATTACTCAGCACTCAGGACATCCTGACACTACTCAAAGCTCTTTTTGTATATTAATTTTTAATCCTTAAAACCACTCTATGTGGCAATTTTTAGTATAACTGCCATTTTACAGTTGAGGAAACTTAAGCAGAGAGGTTAAAATAACTTGCTCAAAGTTAACACAGCTGGTAAAATAAAGAGCTGGTATTCAACAGCAAGCACACTGGCTTCAGAATATCTACCTCTGAAGGTTGTTGTGAGGATTAGATGGGTTAATATATGTAAAATGTTCAGAATATGTAAAATGACACACAGACTTTATCTATTACTTAATGTAATAGATAAAGTGCTTACTGTTCAAAAAAGCTGAAGGCCACAAATTAGGTTGGAGCTAAGGTTTCCCAGGTCAGCCTGACTCAAAACCCAAGCTCTTCAGGTTCCCATTCTCTCTCCCAGAACTGAGAATAGACCAGCTGCATCATCAGCTTGAACTGACAAACCCAGAGACAATTCCTCCTCATAAACTGTCCTTATAGATATTCTCACGTCACAGGCATAAACAGACTGTATGGATAAGCTAAGAAAGTGTTAGCTAATAATGGAGTCTTGAAAGCGGTCTTTGGTTTTCTTTTCATTTTCAGTTACTTCTTTATTTCTACCTCCTGAAATTATTTCTGCAGTGCCTTTATAAGTACTTATTTGATTCATACTTGAATTTTTTTCCTGTTTTGGCCTGAGTGCCTCCGTTCCACATGTGGTCAGTTTCTTCATAGAAGAAAAAAATGTCAAGTTTTACATCATCCTTTCCCTGGAAGGATAGCTCCAAGCTGTCTTCTACCTATGGGAAAGATAAAAACCTTCACACACTGAAACAAAGGAAATACATTTTTTAAAACTTTTTTTTTAAATAAAGAAACAGATTCTTATATTTTACATATACAGAGTATTCATTCGAAGATGTACTTTTTTTCAAATTAAAGCACCTCTGAAATTGAGATGCATCAGTAACATATCATTTAATTTCTTAACTGCATCTAAAATAATGTTGTTTCTTACAATTGATGGTAACTCAGAGTAAATGACTTATGGTAATTATCACTGCAGGAAAAAAAAAAAAAAAAGAAATATCCTATTCCAGAGCAGCTTTCCGACTAAAGAAGGAAAAGAACCAAGGAAATATTATTTCCTTTAATAACCAAATAAAATTATCAGGAAACAAGTCTCTCATAACAATCAATAAATAAATACTTAAGTAAAGAGGTATTCCTCATAGCCACATAAATAGGTTAGGTCATTATATTACACACACGGAAAAAAGAAAAAGAATTCTAAGTTAAGATTAAAAAAAAATAAAGAATTCTGAGAACATTTCCCTAAAGAAAACTTACCATACAAATAATTACATTCCCATTGGACTTGGTACATCTGTCTGCCACAGCACTAATCACAGAATAATTATTTATGCAGTCTTTCCCCCTCCCAATTAGAAAGTGAGCTTCTCAAGGGTAACAACTATCATTTATTCATCTTTGTGTCACAGGTGCAAAGGACAGTGCCAGACTTAGGTTTGCTGAATAACTAGAGCTCTGTTACTTGACTTTGACCTCAGTAAAATATTTTATTTATATTTTTTAGTAAAATAGAATAATTATTTATGATGGAAGAAAAAATTTTCTGGTGACTAAACATATTTTTACTTGCTTACTGTAAGATAACACCTTTCTGGGAAGAAGCAAATTAAGAACAAAATGATTGCAAGAGATCATGGGCTTATGGCATAGGAATCAAACTGTCTAGAGGGAGATTTCATTTAGACTACAATGACTTATCCCTGGTTGACCTCTGAGCAAACTACTATAACCTAGGACATGTAAGATGAACAAGAAATTGAAGTACTTACTTAAAATGATTCAAATAATTTCTACCCCTTAGCAATCAATGGAATATTTTATGTTGATAATGACATCTGTAAAATTAAACAACTCATGAGAAACAATGTAACTTCAGGTAGGGTGGGTGGGATTCTTACTTATTATATTAATTGTATATCATATATATAGATTTTATATTACATTGTTGCCTAATATAATAGCAATAAATTCACCAATAAGAGTTCAAGATCCTTCTTTTCTCATCATTATTAGTTGGTGCAAAAGTAATGGCAAAAACCACAATTACTTTTACACTAACCCAATAGAAAGCCAGATTTTCTGGCTTTTCCCTAGATAGTGCAGGAATTACAAGTGGTAATAGGCTTCTGCTGAACTCATCCTAGTCAGTACTGAGTGATAAAATTATGTATGCAGCATTCTTAACCAAATCTGAGTTGTTTAATTTAAGCTTTACAATTGAGATATGTTACATATGAAATGAAGCCACCTTTTGTTACTGACCTTCCCAAATTTGTGTTTGAGTGGAAGTCCTGCATCCTGAAATGCTAAAATAATATCAGATTTGTAATCTTGTATAAAAATTCCTAGGTCGACATCTTTGCTATAAGGAATAATGTTGCATTGTCGATACCATCCTAAAAAGAAGATTAAATTTTTTTAACAAAATTTAGGTTGGAAAAAAATAGTTATTACAACAAATAATATTTGTAACAATCACTTTTTTTCTTTTTTAAAAAAGACAGAGTCTCACTATATTGCCCAGGCTGGACGCAAACTCCTGGCTCAAGTGATCCCCCTGCCTTGGCCTCTCAAGTAGCTGGGAGTACAAAATGGATTTTATTTCATAGGATTAGACTTAAGGTGCTTTACCAAAATTATTTTTAAAAATTAAATCTCAAACTAAATGACTTTGTTGGAGTAGACACCTGAACCTTCTATCTATGTATCTATTTTCACTGTCTGAGCACTCTCAGCTTTCTCAAAAACTTTCATGATATATTTTAGTTTCTGAATAAACCATTAGCTTTAATAATAAGTTGCGGGTGAGAATGTTTAATTAATCTCTAGTGATAGAGGGGGCCGTTAAGATATGCAAAATATATTTTTGCATATCTTTTGCTTAACCAATGTATTTTTCTTGAGTAATCATTTGTAGAACCTAGCAGCTCTCAACAGTGACTACCTAATGAGTCATATGAAACAGAAAAGCAGTAACAGCTTCAATTTTCAACACACTGCCAAATGATATTTCTAAGTGTCTACCATGTATGTGTTCTCAGTTAGTTGCTATAGCATTGTTTTAAAGAAATAAAACATATACCTTAATATTATTAAGGACTCCTGGGTCTCCCGTATGATCTTCCTAATCATTCCATTTCAATTATTTCAAAAGTAAATACATGACTACGATTATCCTTATAGACATTGTTACTGGTTAATATTGTTTGGAATTCTAAAATAATTCTATTAAAGAATTATAAACCATTAAAAATAGGTTTCTTAAATATCATCTAATACAACTCCCTCACAAATGCCCTTAAGTCAAAAAAAACATGGGACTAAAAACTCAAAACAAACCATGTCAAATGACTAAGAAGTATCTTTGATGATACACATTATAAAACAATTTTGTTTTTAAAAAATTAAACCTTAAAGCAAATATCACATAATGTGAGATATGTACTTTTTTTTTTTTTTTGGCTTATTCTAGTAGTAAGCTCCTTGGCAGGAAGAACAGTGCAAATTCTCAACAAAGGCTAATAGATAGGATAAGCATATATCCCAGTTTATGCCTGAACATAATTAAAGGTGCTTCCTTTCACTCTTAAGTCTCTTAAAGTGAACAATAAATTAGATGGCAACCCTATTAAGGCAGGAGTTGAATTAACTTTTGTACAAATATGGTTATAATAAAGAAAAAGCAAATACAGCTATAATTAACTATCATGATAATCAAAAGATAACAAAAACAAAACAAAATTTAAGATTATAAATAATTCTAAATTCCAAAGAAGTTTAATTTAACGGACAGTGGACAGAGACCCAGAAATCACTCACAGATTTTAATAGCAACTTGTTTAAGGACTATATAAAAGTCTGTATATTCATGTCAGACGAACAGTGATATCCAATTAGTGATACTAACAATGACCTAGGAAAGGTTGATGGAAGACTTTAAGACACTCCCTTCAATGTTCCTCTTATTAGAAACATTTGGAGCAATGCAAGCTGTTTGTATGGCACATAAGTAAAGAAACGAGGGTTTTAAATAATTATTTTAAAAGGCAATAACAATCTTTGGGATGAAATAATAAAATGCTAATTTAAGGCTTATCCGAGAATCAACTATAGTAGTCCCCACTTAGCCATGGTTTTGCTTTTAGGAGTTTCAGTTACCTGTAGTCAACCACAGTCTGAAGATATTAAATGGTAAATTTCAGAAATAAACAACTCAGAAGTGTTACATCAAATCTTTCAGGACTCAGCCCTAGCCTCGGCGAAACATTCCTTGATTTGCCCAGAAGTTTTCAATAGTAGTCTAACACTACATCGTAATGTTACATCCTTCATCTTAACATGCAAGCATTTTATCATCTCACATCATCATAAGAAAAACAACACTGAGTACAGTAAAATAATATTCTCTGAGAGACAGAGAAATCACACACAACTGTTATTATACTATTGTTAAAATTGTTCCATTTTATTTATTGTTGTTTATCTCTTACTGTACCTAATTTATAAATTAAATGTCATCATAGGTATGTATGCAAAAGGAAAAAGCCGTGTATATAGGGTTCAGTACTATCAGAGATTTCAGGCATCCACTGAGGGTCTTGGAATGTACCACCCATGGATAAGGGGGCACTATTGCATAGTCTACGTGTTCTGATACAAATTTTATACATGCTATTTATAATTTTTAGCAAACACAAACATGGCCTAATATTCTTTTTTATATTTCTCAAATTAATTTCTTTAAAGAAATCAATAGATCCTTGCTGCATGCACTCATGTTTATTCTGTCTATAAATATGACACTTCAAATATCACTGATGTTTTGTCATCTCAAGCAGTAACTCCTAAAGACAGAGGACAAAATGACAAAAAGACAAATGGAAAGTCATAAGAATTTTACCTAGACAAGTCCCACTGCTCAGCCAGAATGGTACTCCCAATTTGTTTAATGTTTTCGCTGCTAGCTGTAGTAATTCCTTTGCACTTTTCCGAAAGGCCATGGCTTCCACAGTGTTATCATCAAGGTACTGCTACAGATATAATAAATAGTCAGTGATTACAGCCATTTCTAAATTTCTAGGAAACTTTCTGTGGCATCTGAATTAAATTTGAAAATTAACCCCAGGCTGGGCATAGTAGCTCACACCTTTAATCCCAGAACTTTGGGAGGCCAAGGCAGGTAGATCACTTGGGGTCAGTAGTTCAAGACTAGCCCTGCCCAGATGGCAAAATCCCATATCTAGTAAAAATATAAAAATTAGCTGAGACTGGTGGCCTGCACCTGTAAGCCCAGCTACTCAAGAAATTGAGACAAGAGAATCACTTGAACCCGGGAGGTGGGGGTTGCTATGAGCCAAGATCACACCACTATACTCCAGCCTGGGCAACAGAATGAGACTGTCTCAAAAAAAAGAAGAAGAAGAAGAAGAAGAAAAGAAAAGAAAAAAAGAAAAAAAAAGAGAGAAAAAAAAAGAAAATTAACCCCATATCATCTTTTTTCTATTATAAAAATCCCATTTTATAGTTACTTGTTTGTCCCACATTAAAATAAGCATGTAAGAGTAAATTCTAGGAGAAATTAAAAGGGAAAGAATAGAACCAGGATTTCCAAAGGATGAGACATCCTTTTATCAGCTCCCTCCTCTACATCACAATTTAGTACCTGGACAGTCAGGATAAAATAAGGCTAATTATGAGAGCTACAAACAGCTGAAACAAAATGAACTTAATAATGTTTTCACCATTCAGTGATTCTATTAGTCTTTAGAGACTGTGTAGTAGGGTAGAAAGAGCCTGAGATTTTGAATCAGATGATCAAATCTTGTATACTTCTTTTTAGCTGTGACCACAGGCATAATCATATCAGAAGAATATAAGCTCTATGAGGAAAGTGAATTCATTTTATTATTATGTCTCCAGTGGGTAGAATAGTGCCTGAATATTTGCTGAATGAATGAGAGAATGTAAGAATAAACAAATCTCTCTTATATCTAATTTTCTCATTTGTAGTTTAAGGGTAACTATTATACTTTGCAGGATTGCTGTGAAGATTAAAGGAGAAAAATGTCTTGCAAATTATAAGGTCATAAAATATTATCATTTATTCATCTTGCTTTTCTGATTCTCTTCATTTTTAGAGTATTCTGGAGCTGAGGAAAGCACTGTAAATTCTATAGGGATGCTTCACTACTTATGGGACAAAATTTAAACTTCTTGTCCCGGTGGACAAAAACACTGTGTTCTGGTCCCTGACAACTGGGGTCCAGCCTCATTTGCACAGTCCTCACACTTCATATCATAACTTTTAAATCCCCAAATATACCATAATAACTTGTAACTCCTCAAATATACCACAACGTTTCAAGCCTCCGTACTTTATATACGCTGTTTCCTTTGTCTGATATGCCCCTGACCAACAAAATCTTTCAGGTCTCAGCTCCAACCTCTGAGAAACATTACTCGTTTTTCTCAGGAAGACATATGTATTTATTCTTCCAGTTCTTATTAAGGAAGTGTTTCTCTTCAACCTTTATAGAACAAAGAATCATGTTTGGTTCTAGACATACAAAGACAAATAAAATATCTTTTTCCTTAACAAGCTTATAATAGTTACTACTTGTAAATACCTTTACTATAATTCATATCATATTTAATCCTAATCATCAATTTATTTATATTCCCTCCAATAGACTGTAAAGATGGTTCTCTGAGGGCAAATACACATCTCTTCATCGCTGTATCTACAGGTTTAGAATAGGACCTGGCACACAGTATCTGAAAAACACATACTGATGAATGCGCAAATGAATAAATGATTGACTAAGCCCCTCCCATGCCTGCAACATTCTAAAATATCCTGTGATTCTTTTACAATACAGCAGGCAAGAATATAGATCCCAGATGGACTATATAGATCTTAAGCAAAAAGTACCCTACCTTCAGGAAGAAGAGTTTCTTGCAGATAAGTCACTGTCTACAGAATATACAAATTACACAGGATCTCTTCTTTAATTTGAACACAACCCTTTCCTCAAAGCCATAAGTGCTCTTACAACATGTGACTGGAATGAGAGACATTCTAATGCTTGCTATAGTGGGAAAAGCCTGGAGTTAAGAGGTAGAGATCTAGGACTCAGTCCATGCTCCACTAACAATGACAGTGTAACTGACATCTTAAAACATCCCTTTTCTTATCTGTTAAAGAGAATCCTTGCTTTATTACACAGAGTGACCGAAAGGATTAAATAGCAGATATGAAAATTTTGTGCTCTACAAAAACATCAGGTCTGACAGCTACCTCTTGCTGGTATTGTCCCCATATCGACATACTCCCACCCCGATATACCTTTCCTAACATGACACTGTGACACTCTCAGAAATTCCACCTTCTCTTTCTTTCTTTTCTTTTTTTTTTTTTTGCCCAGGCTGGAGAGCAGCAGTAGTGCGATTTTGGCTTACTACAACTTCCACCTCCTGGGTTCAAGTGATTCTTTTGCCTCAGCCTCCCAAGTAGCTGGGATTACAGGTGCATGCCACCATTTCCAGCTACTTTACGTATTTTTTGCAGAGACAGGGTTTTGCCATGTTGCCCAGGTTGGTCTCAAACTTCAGAGCTCAGGCAATACACCCGCCTCGGCCTCCCAAAGTGCTAGGATTACAGGTATGAGGCACTGCACCTGGCCAGAAATTCCATTTCTTAGAACTGATCCTAGTATGTGTTAAACTGCATACATGCATACACCTATATACCGTAAACATCTATTATAAACTTTATATACAGTATACATACTTTTTTTCGTTTAAAAATAGCTTGTACAAGATGAACTAAACACTTAAATGTAAAACCCAAAACTACAAAAACTCTGGAAGACAACCCAGGCGATACCATTCAGGACATAGGCACAGGCAAAAATTTCATGAAGATGCCAAAAGCAATCGCAACAAAAGCAAAAACTGACAAATAGGATCTAATTAAACTAAAGAGCTTCTGCACAGCAAAAGAACTATCAACAGAATAAACAGGTAACTAAGGAATGGGAGACAGTTTTTGCAAACTATGGTTTGCAAATCATAGATATTAGGTCTAATATCCAGCATCTATAAGGAACTTAAATTTACAAGAAAAAGCAAACAACCCCATTAAAAAGTGAGCAAAGGACATGAACAGACACTTTTCAAAAGGCATATATGTGGCTACCAATCATATGAAAAAAAGTTCGACATCACTGATCATTAGAGAAATGCAATAAAAACCAAAACGAGATACTACCTAATACCAGTCAGAATGGCTATATAAAAAATAAAAATAAAAAACGCCAGATACTGTTGAGATTGTGGAGAAAAAGAAATGCTTATACATGGTTGGTGGGAGTATAAATAGTTCAAGCACTGTGGGAGACAGTGTGGTGATTCCTCAGTGGCCTAAAGACAGAAATATCGTTTGACCTAGCAATTCCATTATCAGGTATATACCGAAAGGAATATAAATCATTCATTCTATTATAAAGACACATGCATGTGGGTGTTCCCTGCAGCGCTATTTACAATTCCAAAGATATGGAATCAACCTAAATGCCCACCAATGATAGACTGGATAAAGAAAATGTAGTATATATACACAATGGAATCCTATGCAGTCGTAAGAAAGAACAAGATCATGTTCTTTGCAGGAACACAGATGGAGCTGAGGCCATCATCCTTAGCAAACTAACACAGGAACAGAAAACCAAACCAAATACTGCATGTTCTCACTGGTAAGTAGGAGCTAAATGATGAGAACACATGGTGGACACATAGAGGGGAACAACACACAGTGAGTCCTTTTGGATGGTGGAAGGAGAGAAAGGATCAGGAAAAATAACAGGTACTAGGCTTAATACTTGGGTGGTAAAAGAAGCTGTACAACAAACCTCCACAACACAAGTTTACCTATGTAACAAACTTGGGCCTGCACCCCTGCACTTAAAATAAAGTTAAAAATAAAATAAATAATTATATAAAAATCCAAGTACAAATCTTAGAAATACTATTCCTCTAAAAAAGACTAAATTAATATTCTAATTTAAATATCATGTTTATTTAATTTTTCCTGTTCAGTCAATAAATGGGGACACAAAGCCCAAGAAGAATCTTGGAATCCAAAACCACAAATTTTATGTCAAAGAATAAGATGACAGAAGGTACCAACTTTTATTGTAGCTAAGAAAACTAAGGCTCAGAAAATTGTCCAAAATCTTAGAGCAAATTAGCAGAAGTAAAACAAGAATGTTGCTCTCTAGATATTCCTGGGTCAGGTGTACAGGTATTCCAACTTTCCTTTTGGTTTTTCACTGATATTCCACAGGCTGGGGCTCATTAATTACCTTGTAATGGTTTTTGCTGAAACAAAATCAAATTCAGGAATATGTATATTATTCTAGTTTCGAATTGCATAGTAGATTAAGAAAATAATTAAAAGTAAATAATGTCTCCTTCCTTTCCTGAACTATTCGATACTAAAACCAGCAGATCAGGCAGAGCAAGAAAGGTATTTGTGCAAAGGGATTGCCTGGTATGGGGTGTCAGAGCCTGGGCAGGTAATGAGGGAATCCACATGAAGACAGTAGGTGGGTGTCCAGGGTGAGAAGTCAGAGCCCAAGCAGGATGAGGAGAGCCTCCCTGCAGAAGAGCAGCCAGGTATGGGAAGTCAGAGCCTGAACAGGGTAAGAAGAGTATCTCTACCTGGGTGCAGCTCAGCAGGGGATAGCAATGCCCAGGTAGGGTGAGAAGAACAACCATGTGGTGGGGCTAGGGAGGGGAGGACACGTTACATACAGGGAGACTGAACAAATAAGCAAACATTAAGGACAATGGGAGTCAAGTTTCTCATTATTTGAGAAGGGAGTCACAAATATGGAAATGAACTCTATGGTGTTTAATTGGAACTTACAACTTGACTGGAGATATCAATGTGAATTCACAGGTTTCAATAGATAGATACAGAAATAAATACACACAAACATACACACCCTGTCCCTGCCCACTGAGAGAAACTGTCTGCAGCAAAACCCAAATAGCAATGGGTATACCTGGCATCTAGGTCTTGGCTTCTAAAAGGAAACAGGACTTAAAGAAATGCCTGATTTCAGGGTAAAGGTAGGAAAATTACAAGATGAACCCAGAATAACTTATAGTGCCAAAAAGTAATAAAGTGTTCAAAAAATAACTGAGACAAGTCAAAAAGACACAGAAAGCATTGTGAAGGAGTTTCAACTGGCCAAATATGGAACAACCTGAAGATCAAACTAAATAATGAAAATAATGGACCCATTGCATAAAATAGAAAACAATGAATGTATACTGATATGAACAAATAAACTGAAAATGTAATGAGGAAAACAATATTTACATCGTTTTAAAGTAACTTCTTGCCAGATGCTTATTATTACAAAGTGAAAAACAGAAACTTCATAGTGGTGAAGATATGAAATTTCACAGACAGCATTTTAATCAGGTGAACAATGTGAATATCAGTAGTAATGGGACAAAACAAAATTATGCTGTGCCCAATGAGACGTAATGAGAACAGGGCACCACTTCTAACCTTCTAAAGAAGTATAACCTAAATCTAACACGAGGAACCCCCAGACAAACCCCAAACGAGGGACGCTGCACAAAACATCTGGCTTGTAATTTTCAAAAGTATTAAAGTCATGAAAGTAATAAAAGAACTGAGAAACTGTCCCAGACTGAAGAAGACTAGAGACAGGAAAATTAAGACAACATGTGATTCTGAATTGAATCCTTTTATTACCAAGGTTATTACTGGGACAATTGACAAAGCTTGAACAGGGATTAAATAGTAAAAATGTACATGTTAATTTTCTAACTTTAATATTAGGACATGTAGAGAATGTTCCCCTTTTTTAAAAATAAATTTTTTGAAGTTGTGGGGCATCTGGTCAACATGTTACTACCAAGTAGTTCAGGAAAAAAAGCTATTGGTAGTGTACCTGCAGGCTTTATGTATTTAAAAATGTTTTTAAAAAAATTATTTAAAAAAAAAAAAGGAGACTGCTTTATAAGGTATATTAGATTAATTCATTGATTTACACCAAGCATTGTATTTAAGACTGTTTGGCGCCATCAAGTGTTCAAACACATGTACGTTCATTTTAATTTGAAAACTGACCCTACTGGATCTTTTCTTTGTACGGTAGATACTGGGCCAACACAGGCAAATAAAAAAAGGAACATGCCTGTTATCAAGAAGTTCATAAAATTTGGTAAGAGGAAAAGATAGATATTCATAATTCACTGTGATAATTGCATAACAGAGATGACAACCAGAGCAAACTCCCTTAGGACAGGAAGAGTCGTCAAGTTTAAACATAAAACTCCATCTCTTCTACGTCCTGTTACTATGTGGTGGGGATATGTCAGGCAGTACTTTTCTATTAAAGTAGCCCCATCCACACGTGGTTTTTCAGCTTTTTATTCATGAGGCTGGCTGCATAAATTTCCGAGCTACACAATGACTTAAGGAAACAGGGCAAGAAGGCGCACTTGGGCTGTCAGGACTCAGCTTTAGGTGCCAGTATACTATATTAGAAAAATCTGATTTGTAGGTCTTGGGCACTTGACAGTAACATACTTCATTGTGTTTCTTCCCTCGTGGATATAGCTCTTTTTGGCAGGGAACCCCAGAAAATAAAGAGCAAGTGAAAGAATTAGGGTACCAAAACCCCACTGTAAATTTGCCTGTTTTTACTGTATCTCTGTGTTTCATGTCATCTCTTAGAGCTGGATTTTCATGCCTTTCAAAATCATGTTTATATTCCCAGGGCCAGAAGCCTGGGAATATTTAGCTTTCACTAAATGTGTATTGAATTGAAAGCTGCAGTAGGAGAATAAAGTTTTAAAAGTACTTAGTCTTTGTGTAGCATTTATCTTCAAAAACCTTCATAAATGCAAAAAAAAAAAAAATTCAATGCCAACTCTGAAACAAACTATATTTTCATGAAGTCTTTTCTAAATCTACATGATCCATCTTCTATAGTGGCTTTATCCTACTTGGACTGAGAATACCCCATCTTTTACAAAGTTAATGGGCTATCTTAACTAAAGGCAGAAGCCAGTGCTAAATTTATTAAGGTTATTCAAATAAAACAATAAATAAATACCAATTCACTTAGCAAGTAGTTTTTTAAGGTTAATTTTTAATCTACTTTTTAAAAAAACTGAAAGAAAACAAGCCAGAAGAAAATAAACACATCAAAAAAAAAAAAAAGTTTACTTTTCCATTTTCCGTAAGTCCCTTCAGCTTACCATCCTCAAATATTAAAAATAATCCCAACATTTTCTTTAATTTAAAAGTACACATTTGGTTGTCTCTAACCTGAAAGAATGCTCGAGCTTCTTTATACCTACACTCAATAAACCTAGAGTGTGGCATTTCTTCTACAAAGTGCATTGGATCCTTTGGAATGAGAACTTCCAGTCCATCAACAGTAACTTGCTGTAACTCTGGCCTGAAAACAAAAGTTAAGATTTATTAATGGGGGGTCAGGAGAAAGAGGAGGGAGAGCAATAGGACAAATACGTAATGCATGCAGAGCTTAAAATCTAGATGACAGGTTGATAGGTGCAGCAAACCACCATGGCACATGTACACCTATGTAACAAACCTGCACGTTCAGCACATGTAACTCAGAACTTAAAGTAAAATAAAATAATAACAATAATACAAAATTTATTAAAAGGATTTAACCCAGAATACTGGCAACCTCTTAAAAATATCAAACATTAGCAAAATACCTAAACATCAAGGATCTTTTCATCAATTACTTCAGCTATCAATTAGCAACTTTAATAAGACCTTGAAAAATCTAACATCAAACAATGGTTGAGTTTTAATTATTTTGGTTAATGTGTTTATATATTTATATATTTGCAATTGTTCATACATACTTTGGCATTTTAAGCAGAAAGAAAAGTTATGTGACATAATTTTTAATTATCAGTTTACTTTTAGAGAAGCAAATGTTTTTAACACTTAAGTCACACAAGTTAAATACAATGGCCTGAGAGTCTCATTAATGGGTAAAATGCTAATCTGCAAATCTATCTTATGCATTTTGCATCCCATACTCTAAAAATATTATTTGAGAGTTTTCCATTCCCATTCGTATAAAATTTTACAATGCACGGACAGTTTTTATCTGTTGTCACACATTTATGTTTAATAAGTAACTGACAATTTTGAACTTTACTGAGTTATAAAACTTTGAAATAAATTCACAAAGCTTTAAAAAACTAAAAGATAATGTCTCCCTAAAGAAGGTTATTTGAAATACAGAATAAGAAAAAGAAATGCAAAAAACTGGCAAGAGAACAGTGAGTATTAAGATTTTGACTAAGGCCAGGCATGGTGGCTCATGTCTGTAATTCCAGCAGTTTTGGAAACCAAGGTGAGTGGCTCATGAGGTCAGGAGTTTAAGAACAGCCTAGCTGACATAGTGAAACCCTGTCTCTACTTAAAAAAAAAAAAAAAAAATTAGCTGAACATGGTGGCAGGTACCTGTAATCCCAGCTACTCAGAAGGCTGAGGCAGGAGAATCGCTTGAACCCAGGACGTGGAGGTTGCAGTGAGTTGAGATAGCACCATTGCACTCCAGCCCAGGCAACAGTATGACTCCGTCTCAAAAAAAAAAAAAAAAAAAAAAAAAGATTTTTGACTAAAATAAGAGGAGCCAATAACAAAAACAAAAGCAAAGTATTTTTCTCCATCTCTACTCATTTTTTTGGTCATTTTATTTTGAAAATATGGCTTGGTTCAGAAAAATTTTGAATTTTCATACACAAAAAATGTAGAAGACTTCAGTTTTGAATATCTTTTTCAGTCGTTCTGAAATATGTGACTTTAAGTACTAGTAAGAAGGCAATATCACATGATTCTAGAGAGAAAAAGAGAGAGAGAAAACGTGTGTGTGTGTGTGTGTGTGTGTGTGTGTGTGTGTATAAAGAAGGCAAGAATAAACATACTCTTACACTTCTCAAGTGTAACAGATAAGCATTGTCTCACTAGATGTTGCTGAGAAGGAGTTTTTAATGTGAAAATCCTTACAGATATTTACTGCTACCTTTACATCAAGATTCTGCTATTCAAAACAGATTGTAACATCGTTATTACTGATTTCAAAAGGAGAATAAAAAGGACAATTCTAGGTTAGAAACTTCATACTCCAAGTATAACTTCAAGAATGTTTTTAATCCTGTAATTTTTACTATTACAAACTATAGCTAATCAAATTTTACTTAAGATTTTTCAAATAACTGTTTCTCAGAAGAAGCATTTTTATTATTGTGAGAGCCAAAGATAAATTTTGGCACACAGTTTTAAAAAATATACAGGAAAGTACATATAACACAAAGGTACAAAATAATGAATTATTAAGTAAACACCAAAGTCTCCACCACAGAAATGAAATTCTGCCAGCTTCCCTGTAGTTCTCTGTCTAGACTTCTCTATCCAGTCTTTTCTGGTAACTCTTCCTTAGTCTTCTTAATACTTTTACTATAAAGGTATACATCCATGAACATAATTTAGCCTGTGTTTGAACTTTTATAAAAGTAATCATAGTATTTACATTCTTTTGTGCCTTGTTTGTGTCATTCAGCATTGTAGGATTCATCCACAATGTGCACAGACTTCTAGTTTATTTTTCTCTGCTGTGTAATACTTTACTATATGAATACCAAAAATTATTTATTCTTTTATAGTTTTTGTTTTGTTTTTGAGACAGAGTCTTGCTCTGTTGCCCAGGCTGGTGTGTTAGTGTCACAATCTTGGCTCACTGCAATTTCCATTCCTCCTGGGCTCAAGTGCTTCTCCTGTCTCAGCCTCCCCAGTAGCTGGGATTACAGGTACCCACCACAACGCACAGCTAATTTTTGTATTTTTTGTAGAGATGCGGTTTCACCATGTTGACCAGGCGGGTCTCAAACGCCTGACCTCTCCTGCCTTGGCCTCCCAAAGTGCTGGGATTACAGACAGGAGGTGCTGCGCCCGGCCGATCCTTTTATTGTAGAAGGACATCTGGGTGGCTTCTAATTTGGAGGCATTAAGAACAATGTTATTATAAACACTTAGATAAGTTATATAGTAGATTTCAATACTCAAACATAAAAACACTGCAAGAATTCATGACTGAACAACACTGATTTCACATTTCACTTTTTGACTCTGAACTTACCTGTCAAAAGCTCCTGGATAACGACCAAACCGTAACTTTCGGAAGGGAACAAACTTCCTGTCAATGTGTTCTTTGAGTCTCAAGTGGCCATGCCAGAGGTAGTTGCCACTCCTATCATGAAAGACTACCAAGTGGATCGCATGAGTGGCCAATCTGCAGATATAGTGCAGGGGGATTTCAGTTCCAGAAAGTGAGTCTATCCCATCTAGGCGGGGATCTTTGCTCTCAATCTTTATGCACTGAAATCCCATATTCTCAGCTATCCGAAACCAGCCTTCCTAGAACCAAAGAAGCATCAAACATCAAGAAACAACATTTAAACATTGAATATTTACAGTCAAATACTAGGAGCAAAACTAAAGTAATTCTTATATTGAACTGAGCCATATTTTTGTGCAAATCTGCTCTGTAACAATATTTTTAAATGAGGGTGATGGGCAGAAGGTAGTGGTGGGAGAATAAAGGAAAGCAGCAAAAATACAAAGTATGTAGAAGAAAAGATACAGCCAAAGACTCTTTTTATGGGCTGGGCACTGTGGCTCACTCCTGAAATCCCACCACTTTGGGAGACAGAGTGAGGCAGATCACTTGAGCTCAGGAGTTTGAGACCAGCCTGGGCAACACGGTGGAGCCCCATCTCTACAAAAAACACACACAAAAAATTAGCCGAGTATGGTGGCATGTTCCTGTAGTCCCAGCTACTTGTGGGTCTGAGTCAGGAGGATCGCTTGAACCTCAGAGGTCACGGCTGCAGTGAGTCAAGATCGCGCACTGCACTCAAGCCTAGGTGTCAAAGTGAGACCCTGTCTCCAAAAAAAAAAAAAAAAAAAAAAAAGACTCTCTTTATGAAAATTAATACAAATCCCTTCCTTGGAATGAGAATGCTCATGTTAGTGTTTCTTGAGTAGTTTCTATAAAGTAAATGTTGATTTAAGAACAGCGCTTAAAATTAAACTTGGAATTCTTAATTTAACTTTTATAACCTTTATTTTCAGAAGTACTTCAAAAAAACAGTTCTTTCATCTCATAGTTTATATCCCAACACCTTAAAGTACTACCATAATAGAACACCACCATAATGCAAAGCATTAGAAAGTAAACAAACATAACATAAGACAAGGTTCATTTTCCAACATCATTTGTTTCATTATCAAGTGTAATATTCCCTTTTTCCCTTTTCTTTTTTGGTGCACCTAAGAAGTAGAAAGCACTGATTGAGGGTGGGGTTAGCCAATTCAGAGAAAGACTATTGAATAGAATAAAAGAAAGGCATTATCAGCTGATAAATCAGGAAATATTTAAAATGCTAGCCAGATCTTGAGAGGAACGTGACCTTGGGTTATAGGAGGAAAGACCGGCAGAGAAAATAGGCAGAATTATGATATGGTTTGCTTTCTTGTAACCATCAACAAGAGAAGTAAAAAAGAAAATAGTTGTTCTGATCAACTGATATAAAGGCCTAGGTCAAGGCTGTGCTGCAAAAGTCCACTCCCAGTTTGCCTTGGCAGAGGTTTGCTCATTTTATGGTAATGACATTAATAAAGAAAAATCACATGCAAATGGAGCCTTTCATTATTAGATCTAACAATCTAATTAGCTCCACACTGGGGGATGTTTTCGAGGGTACAATTCAAGGGCTCTTGAATCTCCTGAATAGTAGGACGTCATATATATAAAAGGATAAACTTGAACCCATGTGCTGATTCTGGGCATGACTGAGCTTTTGCTTCTTCCTCTGACTATGGTAGTATCAGTTTTGCCAATTGTAGCATATTCCCCTTCTTCTAAAATAATAGTTCTCGAGGCAAGTGGGACTGTACCCAACAGACATTTTAGAAATTTGTGGGGATATTTTTAGTTTATCATATTAATAAATTGGCATTTAGAGTCCTAGGCCAAGAACACTAGACATACTATAATTCAAAATATGAAAATCTATCCTGTGTACTAAATTTCAAGTGTCCTGTCAGATAATCACATAATGAAAAACTTGTTTATAATTGTCTGAGCCTTTATTTTTCAGGAATACAATAGTCATGTCAATGTAGAGACAATTTTACTTTTTTGTTGTTGGAAACTTGCTCACTACTTTGGAAAATCATATTACCAACAATAATGCCATTCATAGTATAAGTTTATATTTGTCGCTACTACATTCTGTGATCCTACTTCTAAACACAAGCATCTGAATTACTTTATTATGTCTTTCAGTATAGTCATGCTGGAACATCTGCACACTGAAATACACATCATTTCCTTTTATTTCTACGTTATATTATAGTTAAGACATTATATTGATTTGGGGAATTATGTATATAGGAAGGTTATAATTTCCATGAACTTCATTTGGGGAAAATAAAGGGATATTATAAAATATTTTTTGTAAAAATTATTTATGAGCCTTGTAGGCTTTTTCAATGAGATACCAAACAGTTCAACAGAAATGACCTAAAAATACTGATACTGAGGAGTCTCCCCAGGCAAAAAAAAAAAACAGCATCCTTCTTCTCGTCTTCCTGCTGTGAACATGGATGTGATATCTGGAGTTATGAGAGCTATCCTGTGATAATGAGGGAAATGAGTAAAGAATTTCAGAGATACAAGTTCTGACATCAGTGGCTAGCTAAACTAATATCAATAGCCACTAACCTTTTAACCTCTCATTACATAAGAAAAATAAATCCCCTATTTGCCTTAGTGATTAATTGTATTGTTTTTTAAAGCTGAAAAATATTCCTGATACAATTTATGAAGTGTTTTAAGAAAATTTGTTAATGTTTTACTTTTTTTTTTTTTTTTTTTTTTGAGACGGAGTTTCGCTCTTGTTACCCAGGCTGGAGTGCAATGGCGTGATCTCGGCTCACCGCAACCTCCGCCTCCTGGGCTCAGGCAATTCTCCTGCCTCAGCCTCCTAAGTAGCTGGGATTACAGGCACGCGCCACCACGCCCAGCTAGTTTTTTGTATTTTTAGTAGAGACGGGGTTTCACCATGTTGACCAGGATGGTCTCGATCTCTCGACCTCGTGATCCACCCGCTTCAGCCTCCCAAAGTGCTGGGATTACAGGCTTGAGCCACCGCGCCCAGCCAATGTTTTACATTTTAAACTAGCCTAATACCATACTATTTTGTAAAAAGAGACATATTCCATTATCTGAAAGCAAATCACTTACCTCATTCTTCCTTAGGTGATACTGCAGTGCAAATGTAGTAAAGTCTCTTGGAACACAGAAAAACTTGCATTCTGAAGTGGAGCCATAAGAAGTATTTTTGACTTGTTCAAAGTTCTTGTTAATCAATTCCAATATCAAAGGATCAATAAGAAACACTGGTACATTTTGGCTGGATGTTAGCATAATAAATTTTTTAACTGCACGCTGTTTGAAAGAAAAAGAATTTTCATAATTTCAATAAACCAACAAAATAGCCTATTTTATTACATTTTTATTCATTCATTGTATAAGAATGTATAGTATTTAACCAATAGATACATGCTTATCATTGTGCTAAAAAATATAAACAATTAAATAACACATATGGTCTCTGGTCTCAATAAGCAATCTTCTAAGAAAGATGAATACTTTCAACATAAGGTAAAATATGCTATAATAAAAACATTTACAACACGTGGGCTGGGTGTGGTGGCTCACACCTATAATCCCAGCACTTTGGGAGGCTGGGGTGGGTAGATCATGAGGTCAAGCAATCAAGACCATCCTGGCTATCATGGTGAAACCCTGTCTCTACTAAAAACACAAAAATTAGCTGGGTGTGGTGGCACACGCCTGTAGTCCCAGCTACTTGGGAGGCTGAGGCAGGAGAATCACTTGAAGCCAGGAGGTAGAGGTTGCAGTGAACTGAGATTGTGTCCCTGCACTCCAGCCTGGTGACAGAGTGAGACTTCGTCTCAAAAAAAAAAAAAAAAAAACCAAAAACAAAAACAAAGCAAAACGAAAAAAACATATACAACATATTATAAAAGTACAGACCAGAAAGCTACAAATTTACTGTACATCAAAAGGATAAGAAATTTCAGAGGAAGTGGTATCTGACATGAAAATGTGGGGCCTTACAAAATTATTCTCTTAGTATTAGCTAAATCTTTTCAAGTAAAATTCAGAGGAGAACTATTTGTCAGCTTTTAAAAATCAGTATTGTTAATCTTTCAAAAACAAAACACAGTTGTATGTACCATTTTTCTTTATATCTGTAATGCTACTTAATAATCCTTCGAAGCAAAAGACTCAGACCGAAATACACTGCCTGCTTGATGACTGCCATATATAATGTGCTTTTCTAATGCTGCAATATTTCAAAATATAAATCTGCTGGATAGTAAGTCGGGTCCCCTACTGAAAGAAAAAATTTCAAAAGCAGAATGAAAACAGACTAAATCACACTTAGGAGTAAGTAATACCTAAGAGCCGCAAAGATAAGTATCTGGCATACACTACTGCCTAAAAGCCTACTTCAATGAAAGCAAGACTTAATTTAAAAAAATGTTTGCTGATCAAAAAGGTGCTTCATGAAATTAAGAATACATTCTTATTCAGAAAATCTAAAGGAACTCATAAAAATATGTACAAGATAAATAAATAGATAAAATATTAAGAATTTTAAAGAAAGGATGAGATAAAGCTAGGAATCAGTCTCATTATTTGTTTTTAGTATAGAATATTATGCAAATGCCAGGAATGCAATAATCACTGCCTTATAGCGTTTTATTAATTCAGTGTGGGAAACAGCTAAGTAAAAAGCCTGAATAAACAATGTTACACCAAAAATTCAACTTAGATGACACAGACAAATTTCTTTAAAAATGCAACTTAACAAAACTATCATAAGATGAAACAAAAAATTTGAATTGCCCTATACCTATTAAAGAAACTGAAATTGTTAGAAAAAAAAACTGCCCTCAAAAGAGCAAGGAAAAACTTCAGACTTAAGAGCGTTCACTGGTGAATTCTATCAGTTTTAAAGAATAATATCAATTCTACAAAAACTTTCTTAGAAAATGGAGCAGGAGAAAATACTTCCTATCTGATTTTATGAGGCCAGTGCAACACTTAATAGCAAAACTTCTCATGCCTGAAATCCCAGCACTTTGGGAGGCCGACGCAGGTGGATCACCTGAGGTCAGGAGTCGATACCAGTCTGACCAACATGGTGAAACCCCATCTCTACTAAAAATACAGAAATTAACTGGGCGTGGCGGCATCCACCTGTAATCACAGCAACTTGGGAAGCTGAGGCAGGAGAATCACTTGAACCCAGGAGGTGGAGGCTGCAGTGAGCTGAGACTGCACCACTGCACTCCAGCCTAGGCAACAACAGAGACTGCACCTCAAAAAAAAACCTGACAAAGACATTACCGAAAAAAGTATAGACCACCATCCCTCATGAACACAGATGCAAAAATACTTAATAAAAAATAAGAAAATCAATTCTAATAACTAAAAAAAGATTTAAAAAGGAAAGTAAATATCATGACCAAGTAGTATTTATCCTACAAATGAAAAGGTACTTTAGCATTTAAAAAATCAACCAATAAAATTTGACAAATCAACAGAATAAACAGGAAAAACTAATATAATTTAAATACATAAAAAGCATTTGACAAAATTCAATATCTATTCATGATTTAAAACTTTCAGCAAATTAGGAATAAAATACTTCCTCAACTTGACAAAGGGCATGAACAAAAAATCTATTACTGAGTTGAATGAGTTCTTCATATATCTTTGATACCATTCCTTTGTGAGATACATGTTTTACGAACATTTTCTACTCTGTGACATCCTTATTCATTTTCTTAATGGTGTTTTCTGATGAGTAGAAGTTTAAAATTTTAATAGTCTAATTTAGCTATTTTTTTGTCTTTTAGGGTTATTGCTTTCTGTGCTTTATACTAGGGAAAAAACAAGAAAGAAGTGGTTTTGGAAGAAAGATGAGATAACAGAACTACTATATAAAAGGTGTTTAAATGTTTGTTGAATGGATCTCAGCTTGGTGTTAAATACAAATATAATGAACACACCACTTCATTATCATTATTAATATAAATCAGAGTACATCAGAGTCAAGGAGAGATTCTATAACTCACCTTCTAAACATATCCTCCAAGTTGTTTTCAATACAATCATTAATGCTCCTGGAAAACATGTCCAATTGATTCTAAATCCAATTAATTCTAAATCACTATTATCTGATCTTCAGTAATTCATTTTGTTTATAAGAATGAAAAACATCTTGTTGAAAAGAAGTTAGGCTGAGACCATAATAGCCTATTCATCTGTCTCTGTATTAAAATTTTATTAAAACCTAATAAAATTAGGCAGGACTTGTTCTTAGTAAAAGGCTAGTTCCTAATTATGATCATTTTCTTTTCTAAGTCCTCCCAAGTCATCTGTTTAATAACTCATTAAACATTGAGCCCTAGAATTTTACCAGGGCTCAATATCAAACTTATTGATGAGATTTCACCTTTTATTCCTTCTAAAACTTTAGAGTGACAGTATGTCAGTGCTTCTCCCTTCCTGTGATTTTGCAAATATAGTGATTCATTGACCACATTCACCATTTTTTTTAGTCCCCTCAATGTAAAAGAGTATAAAGAGAACTCACTGAATGTGGTAAGCTGCTCTTCAACTTTTTGCTTGTGTACCATGGAAGTAAAGACTTTGAAAAAAATCCATTATTTTCTCCCACCTCAAGGATCATCTCTTGAATGAAAAGGAGAGAGTCAAGCTACCCTTTTCTATTAAGCTTTACATTATTCACAAATTCCATTTTAAAATGTATCAGTGAACCTGTACCTACTCTGACTGCTCTATTTATGAAAAGGTTTGGGAATGTTTTCAGAATGTTGTTGGTTAATACTGATAAAGGAAAATCTTTTATACTACCAAAGCTACTACAGCTTTAAATTTTTTTCTGAAATTGCTCTTCAGTGTACAGATGAAGCCTCCTAGTAAATGGCAAATCTGAAAAATTTATGTTTCTCCAAGTATCATCACATCTTATAATGTTAAAATTTATGACAGATCACCCCTGTTGCCTTTGGCTGTTAAATACTGAATTTTGAATCTCAGCCAATTATTTTAACCACAGGATGATAAATCTGGTCCAAGTATTATGTGTATTCATTTCCTAAGTAAGGTTGGGATGGAGGTAGAGAAGGGCTACAGAGAAGCATAGAAAATACCCCTTTTTAATTTAATCTAAAATCTTTAAAACTGACTGGGTAGTATAAATTCCAAGTATATCATGCTTACCTTTATTTTCAGAATACCCTAAATTTACAGAGTAAAACGAATGCTATTTTTAACAAATTAAATTTTACACTGATACTTATAGAGAGCTGAGGAGACTGATAACAGGATATCCCAGACTTTACTTTTTAAACAGCAGTTCAAATCTACTTAGTGTTAGCAATGATCTAAAAAGACCACTGCTTGTGATCTTTTTTCAGTGATCTGAAAATTCACTTCTAATTTAAAGCCTTCCACATCTCTGGTTATAGAGAAGCCAAAGACTGAAGTGTATCAAGAAATATCTGGTCATTCCCATAATGTTTACTAATAGAATAAAAGTTGTTTTTTATTAGTAACACAGCAATGTTTTTCTTTCTAAATTTAGTTTTAAAACATAGGAAAATATATTCAGTCAATGTGCAGGTTCTGAAATTTGTAAAACAAGGATATATTGTATATATTGCTGGTTTCCCCTCATCTTATAAAGAAATTATGTTGAATAGATTTTTATTCCTGATCATTACTTTTCCCTTACTCAAATAAATCTGAATCACATGTTCATTTATTTAGGGAAATACCACAGCTCAGTGAATGAGGGTTTTAGAGGTAGACAGAATCTGGTCTTAACAAATTATTGGCCAACTAACCTTAATCTCTCTAAGTAAACTGAGAGTAACAATATTTACTCACTTTTAAAGTTTCCTTAAGAACTAAGTAAGATATTGCACATAAAGCACTTAGTAAAGGGCCTGTTCCTTACCTGCTACTACTAACCGGACCCCCACCACCCAAGGTAGCTATTATTATCGTCGTCATTCAACAAATAATTATGGAGTAAATGAATGAACTAAATGAACATTACGATTGAAAAAGTTCTAATTTATTCTACATACCCACTGTATGCTATCAAATCCAATTCGGCTTCCTTTGGATTTTGACAAACCAGCTGCATTCTAGGAAGATAACAAAAGAACTTTTTAGTAAATTCAAAGCCCAGCATGCAACATTACATTTCAGTTAGGCATGAGATTCAAAATATAATTAGCTCATAATCATTAAAAAGCATTATCCAATTATCTATTTTTCATGAGCTAAGAATTCTACATTTTTATGATATAAAAATCCAAGATGGAAAACATGAATAGATTTGTAGTAAGTTAATTAAGTTATTAAATAATAAGGTAGACATGGCCAACATCTCTGAACCAATTAATTTCCATCAATGAATGGCAAACTCTTTGGAATTAGGGTTTGTCTGTTTAGGTCTTTATCTGTAATTTCAACATATCTCTATATATAAAATCAGTGTTTGTAGATCCTAGCAAAGCGAGAAAGTACAATAATATTTATTGAGGAGCTTGTGTCAGGTACTGTGTTTGATACTTCCATATATGAGTTATATATTCTCACTGACCCCTCACAAAATTCTACAAGGTAAACATTAATTTTGCAGACAGCACCAGTATGCATACTTTACCTAACATACATCATAATTTTGAATTTTGAAGTTTTTATAAAAAACATTTCAGGTCTAGAGCATCAGAAGAAAGAAAATTATTATGAGTTTTCATCTGATAAGCCCCAAAATACTTTGAAGTAACAGGAGAAAGAATGTGAGAAAAAAGGAAGAATATTTCAAGCTTAAAGAAGATCCAAGTAAGTTTCATATGCCTTGTGTGCATACTTTATCTATAAGCTATAGATAGGAGGATGCTGAAGAACAATTAGAGTAGCCTCATCTTAAAAATAAAAGTGGTCCAAGTTCCTAAACTCGTTTCCCCACTAAACCTCACATTCAAGGGCAGAGACCAAGTCCAATCCATCTTTGTATCACCGGTAGTACCTAGGATAGTGCGTGGTGATTTGTATAGCTTAGTAAAGGTTTGTTAATTGGAAGGAGAAAGGAAGGGATGGAGAGATGAATATACTAAGTAATTAATGCAGAGCCAGATTTGGTCTCTCCTCACAAGCTCTGCAACTTAGCCAATTACATTTTAATACTGAGGGATGTTTGAGAAAAATACAACTGTAATCTTCAAACTTGAAAAGAGACTGCAAACATTGTAACACAGCTACTTGTTCACCTTAGTCCTACGTTAGATTAGAATAAATTTCTGAGCTGTTTAATTTGTTGAGTTTGAGATAAGCAAATTTCTAGTGAACTAACATGTTATTTTTATAATAGCTTTAGTAAGATATAATTCACATACCACAAAATCTGCCTTTCTAAAGTGATTTTTAGTATGTTTAGAGTTGTGCAACTATTACCACTATCTAATTCCAGAATATTGTAATCACTCCAAAAAGAAACCATGTTCCTGTTAACTGTCACTCCCTTTTACTCCTCCACTCAGCTGCAATCATAGCGCTAATTATCTTCTCTGTGGATTTGCCCATTACGAACACTACATAAAAATGGAATCATACATGTAGCCTTTTAAATCTGGTTTTTCATTGAGCATGATGTTTTCAAAGTTCATTCATGTTGTGGCATATAACAGTACTTCATTTCTTTATATGGCTAATATTCCATTGTATATTCGTTCATTAGTTGATGAACATTTAGGTTTTTTTTCCAGCTTTTGGCTATTATGAAAAATACAATCACAAATATTCATGTTTTATAATCACTCTCTTGTATACACTGACAACTTATCTCTGACTTCATTTCACTTGCTCAGCAAAAGCCCAACTTTCTACTTACTTGGCATCTGCAATTGTGTAGCTAATGTGGCTGCTAACTGATACTACTTTATTATTATCATTATTACTATTATTGAGACAGGGGCCTCTGTCACCCAGGCTGGAGTGAAGTGGCATGATCATGGCTCACTGCAGCCTCAAACTACCAGGCTCAAGTGATCCTCCTACATCAGCCTTCCTAGCAGCTGCAACTATAGGCATGCACTAACACAGCTGGCTAATTTTTGTATTTTTCGTAAAGACAGGATCTCACCATATTGCCTAGGCTGGTCTCAAACTCCTGGGCTCAAGCAATCCACTTGCTTCTACCTCCCAAAGGGCTGGGATTCCAGGTGTGAGACATCACACCTGGCTGATGTCACTTTAAATTCATGACTACTAATCTCAAATGGGGCTTTAATTCTGCCCAGAAATCAGACTACATTCCCCTTGGGTATTACCTGTCTCATTCTCCTAGATTACTTTTTTCTCTTCTTGTCTCTAACATCCCTATCCTATCTTTCAACTATGGCATTGCTTTCGATTTCACTGAGAAAAAAGAAATTAGAAAATAATTTTCAAAAGCCCCACCACATCTTCCCACCTACTATGTAAGAATTATATCCATATAATACACCTTCCCTTCTGTCATAACAGATGAATTGTCTATGTTCCTATCTAATGCCAGCCTCTCCACGTATGCACTAAATCCCATCCCCCTTGACTGGACAAAGACATTGCTCCAGCAATTTTTCTTTCTCTGATGGATCATTCCCATCAATATACAAACATGATTATTATTTACTCCATCTTAAAACATATACTTAAAACAAAAAACAAAAACTTCTTAACTCCTCTTTTCCCAAAGAACAACTTTCTGTCCCCCACTTTACAGCAAAACTCCTAATGGGTTGTCTCTTCTCATTGCCTCCAATTCCTCTCCTCCCATAAATTCACTTCAGCTTAAATTCACTCTGCTGAGCATTATCAAGATCACCAATGACGTGCACACTGTTCAATCCAATGGTCAATTATTAGTACTTATCTTATTTCATCTACCAAGAATTGCTGACAACTTCTGTCTCACTGAAACACTTCATTCACTTAGCTCTCTGTATCACCATATTTCTGGTTTTTCTCTATTTCTCTCTTCCAACTTCCCCGATGTGTTGGAGGGTCCCAAAGCTCAGATGTTGAGACTTTCTCTCTCCCCCTTTAAAAATCTATATTCCCTTCATTTGTATCTCATCTAGTCATATGGCTTTAAATACTATCTATGTGTTTCCAATACTCAATTGATACTCCCAACCCATTCCACCCAGACTTATATACCCAATTGTCTATTCACCTTCTTCATTTGAATGTCAAATAGGCACCTGATATGCTTTGAATCTGTGCCCCACTCAACCTCATATTGAATTGTAATACCCAGTCTTGGAGGTGGTGCCTGGTGGGAGGTGACTAGATCATATAAACAGTTTCTCATGACTGGTTTAGCACTATCCCTTTGGTGCTGTTCTTGTGATAATGAATAAGTGAGTTATCCCAAGATCTGTCTAGTTTTTTAAAAGACTGTAGCACCTCTTCCCTCTCTTCTTCCTGCTCCAGCCATATGAAGTGCTGGCTCCACCTTCAACTTCTGCCATGATTCTAAGTTTTCTGAGGCCTCCACAGAAGCCAAGAAGATGCCAGTAACATGCTTCCTGTACAGCCTGCAGAACCGTGAGCCAATTAAACTTCTTTTCTTTATAAATTACCCAGTCTCAGGCATTTCTTTATAGCAATGTGAGAACAGGCTAACTACAGAAAATTGCTACCAGAAGAGCAGTACTGCTGTAAGGTATCTGAAAATGTGGAATTAACTTTGGAACTGGGTAATAGGCAGCGGGAGAGTTTGGAGGGCTCAGAAGACAGAAAGACAAGGGAAAATTTGAAACTTCCTAGAGACTTGTTGAATCTCGTTGAATGGTTGTGACCAAAATGCTTATAGTGATATGGACAATTATGTCCAGGCTGAGGAGGTCTCAGATAGAAATCAGGAACTTAACGGGAGGTGAAGCAAAGGTCACTTTTGTAATGCCTTAGCAAAGAACCTGGCTACATTGTCCCTGGCCTTTGAGATTTGTGGAACTCTGACCTTGAGAGTTATAATTTAGGGTACCTGGAAGAAGAAATTTCTTTTCTTTTTTTCTTTTCTTTTTTTGAGACAGCGTTTCACTCTTGATGCCCAGGCTGGAATGCAATGGCACAATCTCAGCTCACTGCAACATCCACCTCCCAGTTTCAAGCAATTCTCCTGCCTCAGCCTCCCAAGTACATGGGATTACAGGCACCCACCACTACACCCAGCTAATTTTTGTATTTTTATTTCACTTTGTTGGCTAGGCTGGTCTCAAACTCCTGACCTCGTGGGAGGCCTGCCTTGGCCTCCCAAAGTGCTGGCATTACAGGTGTAAGCCACGGCAACTGACCCGGAAGAAGAAATATCTAAGCAGCAAAGAGTTCACAATCTGGCCTGGCTGCTTCTAACAACCTATGCTCATACATGTCAGCAAAGACATGACAAAATTGGAATCTATATTTAATAGGGATGCAGAGCATATGAGTTTGAAAAATTTGCAGCCTGGCCATGTGATAGAAAGGAAAAGTCCATTTTCAGGGGAGGAATTCAAGCAGGCTGCAGAAATCTGCATTAGCAAAGACAATGTGAAGGCATTTTAAAGACCTTTAAGGCAGCCCCTCCCATCACAAGCCTGGAGACCTAGGAGGGAAGAATAGTTTGGTGGGCCAGGCCCAGTGCCTGTCACCCTGAGTAGTCTCAGGACACTGCTCCCTGCATTCCAGCTGCTCTAGCTCCAGCCATGGGTCAAAGGGGAAAAGGGGGTGAAAGGTTCTTTGCTAAGACATGACAAAAATGAGCTTTGCTTCACCTCCTTTTGCTTCAGAGGGTGCAAGCTGTAAGCAGGTGTACACAGTGTAAGAGTTGAGGCATAAGAGCCTCTGCCTGGATTTCAGAGGATATATGGAAAAGCCTGGATGTCTAGGCAGAAGCCTGCTACTGACGGAGCCCTCATGGAGAACCTCTACTAGAACAGTGCGGAAGGGAAATGCAGGGTTGAAGCCCCCACAGTGAGTCCCCACTGGGGAAATGCCGTCTAGTGGAGCTGTGAGAAGAGGGCCACAGTCCTGCAGACTCCAGAGTGGTAGATCCACCAGTAACTTGCATGGTGCACCAGGAAAAGCTGCAGGCACTCAATGCCAGCCCATGAGA